TATTCTAGCTGCATCTTTAACACCTGGTGGATACAAAAGACAGATACCGTAAACGGTATCAAAACAGGAAAGTGATCCAGTCTTAGCTCACTGCTGAAGATTTACTCTTTCACCAGTCGTGATGACAAGAGAAGACAGACGCTATGTACAGTATTTACAGATTCATGTGGCAAGCTTTTGATTTACGATTTTGATAAAGTCGCATCTTTTAATGGGGACTATCCGTAATGTCGTGCTGGCTTTCTATGCATGTTCGGTTTTCATTACATTTTGATATACGTGAATTAGTACACGTTTTATCAGTGTGTGTGGAAATAGTGTGAACAGAAGATGAAAGATAGGCGTGTTTTACGAAATTGTTCGTAAAGTCTCACGAGATTTTATCGCTGGAAACCACACACCATTTGGCTTCACGTTTTATGTCCAGTCCCGGCTATAACCTTACATGCCGAATAACCTTTAACGACGTTGGGGAGAGAATACAGGCAACGAGAGAAAAGACCACATCTCAATGATTTCTGGATGCTTCTCGACAACTGTTCATGTACTGGTCACTTCATTGGACAGAGAAAGCGCTTTGGACAAGACAACATCATTGCATGCAATCGTCACCCTTCCTTTACATGTAGGTCAATGCGGTAAAAAAAATGAAGTTGGAACGTTTCGATAAAGAAAATATTAAATTTCATCGCCGCCTCTTGACAGACTATATACGGTGTGTATGAATAAATGAACGCTATATCCACACGTGACAAATGTATAGAAAAAACTTCAAACGTGTAAACTACGGTTCTCATTTCCTTAGGCTTCTTCCGAGAATCTCCTCCCAGACTATGGAGAACGCCGAGCGCTGCATACAAGGTTAAGCCTACAAAGCAGCACGGTTCTTGCCGACTTGCTCTGAAATCCCCTACTCGCGGTTTCTCTTTGCGACAGTAAAAGTCCGAACTACTCGCGGTTGAACAGCCGGATATCATCACTACAATAAACAGCGCCAACAAGTATTGGCACTAAAACGTGCCGTTATCGCTGTCGCAATCAGCACTTCAGAACCAGGGCCAGACCCAGGCGGAGGGATATCGATTTCAGCAGTCGTGAAGAGTAAAAGTGACGTATCGAGAGCAGGGCCCGAAAGGCGGCGAATGGAAAACGGCGGAAGATGAGTTCTGATAAAGGTAAAAGGCAACGGGGAAAACTGATTGAAGATAAATTGCTGCTGAGGAAATTGTATAAGATGAAAACGGAAAGCAATCAAAGAAGGAGGACTACTTATGTTGTGGTTTGTAGAGAAAAGCTGAGGAATAAAGCGACAGACGGTAAAGATAGAATTCTGAGTGGGCATATACTAAAACGAATTTGACTTCTGTGGCCTCTCCTTTCAAAATTGGCTGAACAAAAAAAGGAAAAGCAGACATGCATTCGTCGCTGTGGAGTCGACCAGGCTGCTAGGTAATTCGTACGTGCGCACATCACATATACAGACACGCCGCCGCTGTACTTGAGTTGAAGGAAAGGCTTCCATGACCCTAGTGACTACTGACAGAGTATTCATTCCCGCGCTGTCTACACCGCCAAATGAGTTAACACTTGTTGAACCCGTAGTTCGTATGCCACAGCAATCATTTTGTCGGGAAATCCGGAATCAAATCTTCTCCTAACGACCCGCGCGAGGACCATATACTCCCCGAGTCTTTAAATGAATTATTAACCATAGCAGAAACTTTCCATTGCAATTTGGGTGGAAATTCCTCCTCCGTGTAGATGCTAAACTCGGAGGAGACAAACGATTGGCCGAGTTTTCCAGGCGACAAGATGTCGCAGGGAAACAATTTTGGGGAAACCATCTCAGTACTTGACGTCAATCTGGGAGTCTAAATCACCCGTTTCCTGATAGAATATGTCAGTTCGGGGATAGGTCTCTTTGTATTGGGTCGGTAGGATTAAAAACATGCCAAAAATATTCAGCTTGTGACATAATAGTGTGCGTTGCACCATGAATGTATATATGTATGCCAATGATACTCAACGTTGTTCCTGTAAAAAGAATGTATAAGGAACAACAAAATGTATAAGTCGTTAAGGCATGTGTATAAAGAATAGTCAGTGGAATAGCTATTGAGGATTCACATTGAAAACGACCTTGTTATAACGACCATATCTAATGGTTATGGCTTGCTAAAGCTGTCTGGTATGACAATTACACATATACACCGGGTAGTATTAAGATTCATAGCTTTGGTCTTTTTTTTATATATACTAGTATTTGCTAAACTAGTACCACAGAGACCACAAAAACGAAAATCACACATTTACATGGCTATAAAACATTTCTCGTAACATCAACACGAAGGCGAATTACATGCTACATATATTGCATCTGTCTATCAAATGCGGATGGTTCTTCTTTACAATGGAAAGATCCGTTAAGTCATCATCAAATTATACCTTTAAAATTGTTATCGGAATAACAACAATGTAATATGTAGATTATAGATATTTGTAGATTAAGTCTGGATCATAGGAAGATTCATTTTGGTAATCGTTTGGATATTTTGCTTCAGTTGGTAATCAAAGTAGGTTTTGTACCTTTTCAACCTTATTCTATTAGTCTAGTGGCATTTTGAGTAATGTATTAGAGTTCTTAATATTGTCTGAAGCTGACAACTGAAGGAGACGAAATCCATAGCCACAGACATCTTCCTGATGAGGAAGCCGCCAATACTGCGGCAAGCACCACACGTGAGGAAGGTCAAGGAATTCTGACGATAACTGAATCTCCACCATTAAAGTTTTACTGGTGATTCAACGACGTGGAGAGGGAAGTGGCCATTCCATCAGCGATGGCATCTGGCCTCAATACCATATAGTATAGAGTTCGTTGGGCACTGCGTCAATGGATAGCATAGACAGCATAGCCGTTAGCATGTGGTTATGCAATACCCTTAATTCTCATAGGTAGAAGATATTGGGATGTGTTAATGGCAAATTGAAGTTCCAAAAAGGCCCTTTTTTGTGGAAAAAAAATCTTACACGTGCAATTGTTGCGTAACAAAGAGATAAAAAATCTGGATAATATGATATAATGTAATAAAAATGTACTGGACTAATTAACGTGAACACGTTTAGACAGTCTATAATAAGTTTTGAATTAGCCTAACTGCCTATACCGTACACCCATAATTCCATTACATTACCCCTCGTCTTGTGTGTGTACTTGACATTGACGTTGGGATTGATCTAAAGGACCGGCGACCAGATTTAGAATTCGGCCTGTAGCCAAATGTCGCGTAAGACGGTTGGTCAGCAGATAGAGACGAAGTGGGATGAGGTTGCGTTTACCTGCCAATGGGCTATCGGAAACATCGGCTTGTAAAATCAACTGCTTGGATTATATCGTCTTGATCCTGCAGTACCAATAGGGCGACCAGGGGGCGTTTTAGTCTCACCTTCAGTTAGTGAACTTGATGTCATAGGATCTGAGAGAACATCTTGGATACCTAGATTGATGCAGTTTAAAACAAAAATTTTTATCAAATGGAAACATTTCAAAGACGTATTTTCTATGTTTAATGATGACTCAACCCTTTTTGCGCCCAAGTCACTTTGGAAAATTCGACCCAACAAGGGAATGTGAGGCTCCACTGCATTAAATTCGGCACCTATCGACTTTTGCGTTATATGCAGTACACTGTGTGTCAGGTTGCGAAATTGGAGTACTTCAAATCACTGACTTATCAATATTGAGTTAAGGGAAAGGAGTCTCATATCGACGCACTTTCGTATGACATACTATATGTATATTTCTAATGATTTATCGCAGGACCTGGCGTATGGATATGTCGCCTACTGGGTTGACTTATTTTAATACCTGTCTCTTCGCCGATGTTTCTTACCCATGGCAAATCAGATATGAGAGTTATACGCGGGAACAACAGTCACGGTCCTTTTCTTTCCCGTCTTTATCTTTGGAACGATATTCAGAGACGCTATTTTGGCCACTTCTGCTTACCATTGATTTTTGCAGGGCACACAATGTGGCTATAAGATAACTTTGATATATCACAGTCCGATGGCTGGCTGATAAGACTTGTTGATAGACGGAGATGTACTCTTTCATGTATAGCAAGTAGAACAAGCTGAGGAGATGGCTATATCGAAGTTGAGATGCACCGTTGTCCACAACACTGTCAGTTATCTCTAGCCTTGCGTCTCCTTTAACATCTTCGCCGGTAATGAAAGCAAGTACTGACATTTAAGTTGATTGCCTGGTGGAGTCGTCACGGGTGGAAAAGACATTCCCTGTTGAAGGTCGTTTAAGAAACACATCAGAGGTTGATTCTTGCTGAGGGCATCAACCGACTAGACCATTTAAAAACAATGTTGCTGAAAATCAGATGAGAACTACAGTGAGGATCCAACGGTAACATACCTAGCAGGGAAGAGGTTAGATACACGTGTAGATAGTGCAGAATGTTAAGTGTTGTTGCTTCCGGGACGAAAGTATTGTCTTGGGTGGCGCTAATTTCTGCTAGGTTTGTATGTTTGGGTTCCACGGTCTCAGCGTTTTAAATTACACCCGGTATGCCTTGGGTTCAAAGATGTGGTCATCATACAGTCGCATGAGTAATAATGCATTCTAAGATATAATTACTCACTTACCAATACTTACTATTACACAGTTATACCTTTCTGAAACCAAGCGATTTAATAACTGATTTATGGTACTGTATCAATTTATAATATGTTAATAGCTTAACATTGTTTCTTGTTACCTGGACGTTGTCATTGAAGTGTCATTGTTTTGTCTTGTAATTTTTATCTTATGTCTAGTGGTGACGTGAATATAAGCATATCGTTTAAGTGTGTCACCACTATGTATTATATTGTATGTTGATTTTTAATTGAAAGAAAAAAAGATATAATTTATAATTATTGTATGCAAACTATATAAATTTCCCGATTATTCCTTGCTTATAGAAGTACTTTCATCCTTCCTGTAGGTGACTTTTAGTGCCTCCGTTCAGACCTTTCTGTTGATCCGTCGGAAGCTCAGTGGGCGTGGAAAGGATCGATCCTCGGCGGTTTGGAGGCCACGGGGGCGATGAGATACTTCAGACGACCGGTAACCTTTCCACCGCCATCTACTCTCGGTGGGTCCTGACATTTACTGTAAGGAAACCTTAAACCTCCGGGTCTTAAATCAGGCAGTGGGAGCGGTAATCTCATCAAGTGTCGTTACCTCTTTCCATCTAGGCTGTAGCTGAATAATCCCGATTAGAAAAAGATAATGGACAAATCCTGAAGATGACTGTTACGAAAATAAGCTGAGAAGGAGAAAAAATACACATGGCAGCAAATGCTGAAAAAGGCACCCGCAAAGTCAATAACATCAAAAACAGAACCTCAGCACACATAAGAAAACAGCAATGGATTTTTTTCATTAAAGATATAAATTACCCTCCCTAAATGATGTCCAGTGGTCTTATAAAACGTCTTGACCCCAACAAGACCGTCCTAATCCTCCCGGACATATCTATTTTTCAACCCTGACAAGGCTGTTGGGAGTTTTTCCGCACAAGTTCGATAGGGTTATAAATCTTGCTCTTGCTCTCATAGAAATCAATAGAGGAGACATAACAAATCTCCGCCTATTGTCGGCTGCAAGGAATTGACTTAACGAATTGTACCACTTATCTTGGGATTTCTGTACCTGCTATTCATTATCTCATTTTTTTTTGCTATGTAGAGAAGCTAGACTGCTAACGTTGATTTAATAATTCTCACGTAGATGACAAGGCACATCTTTTTAATCGTTCTGGTAAGCCTTTCAGAACAATGAAAAAAAAAACATCATTATTGACATCCAATTATGTTTGTGTAAAACAATTTTCTAATTTTTTTTTTATTTGGGTAGGAGTTAAAATATCAGCTTGCTATCAGGATGGAATTCGTAGTCTTTCGTCTCCGAAGATTTCCATAAAATCCCGACTGGTGTTCTGGGTTTACACTTGTGTTTGTCAGGCAACGGTGGCATATCTGGGTCAGTAGTACTGACATGTTGTGGTATCTGTCCTTTGATAGATCCAAGTACAAGACCGCTGGTTATTTCTGACTTGTTTTGTGTTACAAAAGGTCACGTTTGAAGGTTTGGTCAGCTTTAGGAGGAACAGCTGTCCCGGGACGGAAAACATCAACAGATCACTTCACATAACATCAGGCCAACCAGTATTCAGAATATGTATCAGTACATATTCAAAAGGGTGCTCATTTCTGTAACTAAAGCTTAGATGGAAGAGGCAGCTGTAACACTTGACAAAGATGATGTTGAGTTCTAGTATTAATCTCTACTGACACGTGTCATTCGAAGCCATGCAAAATGTCTGTTGCAATATATTGTTGTCGGGTGAAAGAACACACTTCACAACACACTGGTACAATGACAATACAACGGAATATTCAACAATATCGGAGACAATTGTTGAGCACAATTAGTATTGCAGGTCGCTGTTTTATAATGTTGTCGCTTGATTCCAATTGGCGTGTTACGGAAACAACCCTTGCCACTGAAAGCCCCAACAACTCTAGACTGTGCAAAAGCGACACCTTCTGATTTCTGTTGGTGCTGCAGTGGAGTCAAGCGAACTTATTTTATGTAACCTTTCTCTCCAGAGGGGAACGATAAGGCTGACAGAATTATCACCATGCTACCCCCAGTCCTAATGTACAGGAAGTGCACATATGGGGAAAATTGCATCTTCAGGTATGTAATCTGGTATTATACTATTTTTGTTTCATTATGGCGTAGTTCTGGGACATCTGATGCTGCAAAAAGTCGTCGGTAGATTCTTTCAGCGAGTGAAAGCTCGTGTGCTTCATTTGTAAAAGATGCGACAAAAGCTAAGATCATTTTTACGTCTGGCTCTATGTATAAACTCCTCCATGCAAGTTATACAGACAGACACAGGCGGCTGTTAATGTTTAATGATCTCTAGAAGCCATGCACGTAACATCAATTATTATTTGTCTCCTGTATAGATCATGTAACCTAGCAATGTATCTAAACACCCCTTCGTACATTTAGTTGTCACATTAGAAACTATGTTCGTCAGTTCGTGACGGAATAGTTGTACCTTGAAGGGAGGCATAGCTTAAGACGTCAGTTCCTGTATTTGTACTCGAGTATATGTACTAACATAATTCGTAAGGTGTAGCGTGACTATATATGTTATTGATCAGGATTTTAGAATCCTACAAACATCTACGTTTTGCTCTAGACTCGACGACACCGTTTTCATTTGCCTGAACTTCTTTCACCGAAATTTCCTCAAACATCAAGCTAACAACAGCTTTGATACACATAGTATACTAGTAGTAGTATATCACAATCTACTTATTATTACGTGTATGTTTCGATTAACATTAGTCGAGCCCAAATACAATGCTGTGAAGTTCCGTGGGACTTATTTTCATTCTCGCTTGACAGAAAGCGCTGCATTCAATACTAATATTTTCCCAGTCACAGAGGCGACCACTTACTCACCCGCATTGTTCGTTGGTTTACAATTACCCCCATTAAACAACACCTTCACCATACCCACGATAAGGTTGCAAATCTCGCAAACCGTGATGACAGATAGACCAATGTACAGTCCTAACAGCCCACCAATACTGCTTAACAGTGCCTCTAGGGTAAAACTCGGGATGTCCTTTATTTCCTGGTAGTTTAGGTCCTGATAGTACAGATGTAGACGAACGAGATTCTTTCGAATGGAGTCTAAGTTCTTTGGTAGTTTCTTGGATCTGCTCCGAGTGCTAATCTTTTCAAGCACGTACGAACTGTATGTCTCAGACGGCCATGATGAAGAAGACACCCACACATCATACGACTCTTCATGGCAGGGCTGGTAACAAGGGCAAACTAGCTTGTTATTTTCGTGTTCTTTACGTACCCTCTGTCGACAACATTCTTGGGTTTCATTCAGGGTACTACAGATGGTTGAATTGATGGCTAAAAGTTCGTCTGAACATCCGCATTCTTTGATTAGAGCTTTCTGCAGACATGACCGCTTACATGTCTCGTACGTGTAGAGCCCGCCGTACAGCGAGGAGGTCTTTGTTGACAAGGAACAGTTGCCGTAAGGATGAGGCTGTCGGTTGACCACTCGGCGCTTCAGTCCGATGTACGTGCTCTTTCCTGGTTCAGCACTAAGGGCATTGACCTCAGGCAGAGGTGTTGATCCAGGAATGTGGACGGTTACTTTTACTCCAGGATCCTGTCCGAAGATGCCAATATACTCGTCACTTTCTACATTAAGCGTGAGCTTTAAACCGTAACCAGCCCCGACATTAGTTGTTTCCAGTACATTGTCTTGGTCATGATTGAACGTAAAACAGTTGCCATATTTAGAGTTTTGAGACACTTTGAAGGCATCCAATGAACACCTTTTCTTGTCATAAGTGCATTGAAGGATAAAATCCTTCCTTTGGTGACCAATATCCGCGATTTCGTCTTTTGATGCCGTTGAGATGTCGGTAATGTCCGAGTAGTCGTCGGTTTGTGAGTTTTGAAAGAAACCCCACCAGTCGTCCTCGTTTTCTACCGATTTTGCTAGACCGGAGTCTATACAACCGACGTCACACATTTCTACGGGACAAAACTCCTTTGGCCGTCTCGGATCCTCGGTAAAACACCATGGAACGTTTGCCAGAGAACCTGGTATATTTCGACAATAGTTTTCGACCAGTCCAACATTGGGAAAGAGAGCTGGTGTCATACAATGGACATGTGGGTCATGAGAATCCCATTTCTGACACTTCTGTCCGCTGTTTGTAACATTTTCGAACCCCCTGTAGTTCAACCCAGTTCCAACAATGCATTCCTTCTCCCAGCACTTGAGAGCAGACGGAGGGAAGGAATCTGCCCCGACATTGGACAGGATCTCACAATGCTCGCGTTTACAACCAATGATCTCGAGGCGTAGGTTCGGGCCATTTTCCCACGATTTGGGATGTAAGCGGATGTAACGCGCTGAAACTGCACGAGGAAGATACACATGATTGGGTGTTTCACCGTCCACATTTCCCTTGAACATCATTTCTCTAGAGTTATCCCTGTACGGTCTCCAGTCAACTCCTCGGGAACTGAAGGATAGCATAAAGAATGTGACATACTTGTCACCATGACCTTGCGTTATAAGACCTGTTATCACCTTTTGCTGGAGTAGATCTACTTGAATCCAGCCGTCTGCTGTGGACTGCATCTTCCACGACGACATGCCATTTAGGCGTGCGTGAGCCGGAGCATTTTCTGTGCTGCCCATCTCTGGTTTAGCTGTTATCTGGTCAGCCGCGATAGTGCCAGCTTCCATTCCAAGTGGGTTGTTGCATCCTCGGAACATGTTCATATCTTCGGATCTGTAAAACAGCTCGACGAAGGACTCTCGTGTTTCTGCCTTGCAACAGTAGGCTACGCGGGGTGTGTGTCCCACGGAGGCCATGGAAACGTCAATCTCCATAGTCCAACCAGATTCCTGACTCACTGTACTCCCTGGTAACACTTCCTCTATTTGATGCCGATTGCAAAGAAAAGGTGTATTTGTCGGAAGAAATAAGCAAGCCTGACGAGCACCGTCGATAGTGTCATATTTCTTGTCTGTTGTCACAAGCGTTTGTTGACAACAGAGTGCCTTGTAGGATTTGTGACGGTTAGGACGATGGAAAGGAACGATTGTCTTGTAACACATGTCTCCAACAGAGCATCCACAAGTATCATTCAGTAAGGCAACTTTGTCCGGGACCGAAAACCATGCTAAGTCGTCGGGTAACTTGCTCCGACGAATGCCGACCTTATGGGCTGCTTCGAGCTGCCTAATCGTACATAATTGCATGTCGAGTTGACTACAGACTTCTGATGCAGTTTGATGACTGTCATAAGTTTTGCTGGTAAACCTGAACAGTCTATCACAACAGTAAGCCCCTCTGCCTGCTTGCAAAGGTTCGCTGAAGAAGGCTTGACCAGCGGTAATGCTCATGTGCTGCTTCTGATCAGCAAACCACCCCGGGTCAGAAGTCAGTCCATTATCTGGCTTATTCAAAGCAATGTCTTCTATTGTACACAAGTCCTTTCCCTTCTCGTGGCAGTACTGCTTGGCAAAGACATGTTGATAGAAGGTTCTGCTGGTGGGGAATGTATCGTCGGGTTTACCATCGTTGATTGGGCACCGCGGTATGTCTACACATGAAACAGTTACTGAATTGTTACTAGGTCCTTTCGTGGAAGGCGCAGGGCACACTAACTGTACCCCCTTTGAATGAGGGGATGTACGACAAAAGTTCTCTTGAAGGCAATACCCACTGTAACTTTGTGGGCAGCTCCAATTTCCACAAGTGCCATTAGATGACGAATTCAGCCTTCCGCGATAAGCCGTGGCGTTTGAGTAACATTCTGTACTACTACACTGCAGACCGTCAACAGCATACAAACCCATCTCCTTAACGTTGCAATCAGCAAGATCGCAACCAAGGAACTCAACACGGAAATGAAAATTGGTATACTTATTAGGACTAACAAATAACGGTTGGATGGAAATGCGCATGGCTGCAATGGCCTTGGGGAGATGCTGTATGTTGTAATAATCGTCATCGACGGTCCCACAAAGGATGACGTCCCCGCCAAACTCATCGACATATCGTGTCCACGAAGTTCCGTTCTGACTATACTTCAACACGTATCCTTCCATTCCCGAGCCGTGTGAATCCAGCTGGATGATGACACCTGTGAGAAGGATGGGTCTTTCAAAGTCTACTTCAAACCACGGATTAAGGTCGTCTCCTGACTGCCAGTAGGACAGAGCATTAAGTCTACCATGGCGTGCCTGTTTGTCAGTAAAATAAGACGAAGCGTGGATTTGTCGGTCCCCATATCTTTCCACTTTCCATGCCCAGTGGATTACTGCAGCTGGAGACCTTAGAAGTACAGCCCGACTGGACGCACACCTGCTGGGAACAACAGAACACACCTGCCTCCTTTAACTGTGTTGTAACCGGAAGAATATCCTTGTAGCACGTGTTGCTCAAGTCATCCCGGCAAGAACCGTTCAGCCTTATCTGTGTGTCGGGTCTTACAGGTGAGGCGAACCAGCCCCAGTCTTCGAATCTTACACCTTCTTTGTACAGATGAAGAAGCTGCGAGGCGGTACAAGGCCCGGGCCTACTTAAACCTGACACGGCGTTACATGCTTCTCCAAGGGCCTCACGTCGTGGTACCATTGAATTGCTACCAACAGGACTACTCATGGTGACGGTCACTGGGCAGCAGAAAGCATGGGTTTGGTTGACCTGGTTTGCAGGCCTTAGTGGGAAACTGTAACGAAAATACTCAATTAAAAGTTATTGCCAAGAAACAAAACAAGACAAAAGAATACAAAATCATCATTATAATTATCATTATCATCAACATCATTATAATTTTTGTTTAACATCGCTGTTTTCAATGATTTCTGATATCTACGCCCATTGTTTTGATTTTTTGAAATAGCGCCTGCTTGAAATACGATTCGCAGAAGTTCAGAAGCATCCCAACAGTTTACATTTCCAAATCAACGTGTAAATCACAAACCTTCCAGCGATACAGTCTGTACATGTATCGCCATCCTTCTCACAAGAACCTATCCGGACAGCCAAATTCTCATGGCTGAAAAATCCCCAGCCGGCAGATAGGGGAAAATGCTGTTTCTTGGCCTCT